TGTTTCAATAAATCTCTGCACCTATTTTCCACTGTGGGGTGTTTTTTGGCTCAGGAGGTAGAAGCAGATCATCTACCAAATGGAAGGCTGGGAGTTTGATTCTGGACTGCTCCAGCCTGCATGACAAAGTATCCTTGGACAAAATGCTGAACCCCAAATTATTCCAAATGGTTTCATTTGACTGTTAATGTTTGTGAGTGTTAGACGTAGAGAAAAGTGCTTTCATGAATGGATGAATGAGACATGTTGTAAAAAGCTCTTTGAGCGCTCAAGTATGGTAAAAATAAATAAATATATATACGTTTATTTTTTAAAAGCACTTTATAAGAACCAGTCCATTTATCACTTCTCTCCTTGTCTTTTGCCCTCCACTGCAGAATGACCATGCACCCCAGCACCTCCAGCTGCACAGTACTGTACTTTATGTGACAGTTTTGTGAATTACTTTAAATCTGACGGTCGAATCTTGTTAACAGAAGCTAAGTATCTGAAACAGGTCGGGATAAAAAATACAAAGACGAGGCCTAGAATCAAGACATAATCCATTGGGGTTAACATTTTTTTTAATACTTGCATAGGGAGATGAAGCATTGTAAAGGAGAATCATCATGTCACACTGGACAGTCAAATACAAGACAAATGTACCAGACACTGAACATCTCTTTTATAAATCTTTATGGCATCTTTGACATGGGATTTTAAAAGCAGGCAGTAGACTCTTGCTGCAGTCCTGTGCATGCCATGCCTCCATTGCTGGGTAGAGGGTTGTTGCACTGTCGACTTCTTGTCTTTTGCCCTCCGCTGCAGGATGACCACGCACCCCAGCAGCTCCAGTTGCCATCAATGGCTATTTCTGTCAGAACGGATGATACCATACCTCATGTCAGTGTCTCAGCACAATTAGTGGACATAAATAAAACAAATACAACACTGTTACCAGATTATTATTATTGTTATTATTTTTTAAAGTTGTCCTAACCTTTTTTCCTGTTAGTGATCTCACAGGCTCTTCCAGTATAGCCAACAGGACACACACAGTCACACCTTGTACCTGTTAAGAAGGAAAAAAGATATTTCCTTCAATGTCACTATTTGCCATCACTATAATCATCACCAGATATCACATTTAGATTGCGTTCCAGCTGAAACTTAAACAAAACAGTAGAAAAATGGGATTGTAATAAGATGTTGCAATTACTTCTTGAGTCTTTGATGAAAGACACATCCTTATTACATCAAAGTAAAGCTATCATAAGTAGCTTTTGATACAAAGTAGTGCATTGAGTTTTCTGTGAATAAATGATGGAGATGGAACAAAGGAATCACTGCATGTTAATAGTTGTTGCTCAACAACAACAATCCTCTGGGTTACCTTTCAGAACAGCCACTCCATTGTTGCGACAGGGAGCACACCGGCACGGACTAGCCTCTGCCAGGTACTCTGACAGGGCTCTCTTCAGGTTTCTTTTCAGGATAGCATGATGGGAAAAGTCTCTGGAGGTCACCAGCTCATAGAGTGGCCGTGTCTAATAAGACATAAATACTGTTTTAAATCCAGGATCTTTTTACTGTCCAAATAAAATTCTCTCCTTTTTTTGTACTGAGCTTACTGGGAAGCTCCACAAGTGCTGAAACCTGACTGTGCTGCAGCAAGGCAGCCTATTTGTCTTTGGCACACTTGCTATTTGGCATCATTTTGTGTTTGCTCTTGCCATTGATCAGCTCGGTTTGTACTTTGCCTCTGTGTGATTGTGCCAGTGCTTGTCATGCATCAATTAGTGAGGTCAGATGCCGTGTGGATAATTCCATCACATTTCTGAGCTGAAGCTGAGAAATATTTTTAAAAAATGAACAAAATGAACTATTTACTGGATTCATGTAAAAAAAAAAAAAAAATAGGCAAAAACACCCATTGTAGAGTATTATGTGTGGGACTCCAGCATGTAGCACAGCCAAAATAGAAGCAATAGACAGAAATACTGCAATAGGCCTAGGCTGCTGGGGGGTTCCCAGGCTGGCTGCTCTTCCTGAGCCTGGCTCTTTTTTGCTAATAGAAGTTCATCTGATTGTTGTTGTTTTCTTTGTTATTTTAGTATCTTCCCCTTACAATAGAAAGCACATTGAGGCGTCTGTTTCTGTGATTTGGTGCTATATAAATAACATTTAATTGAACTGAAATGAACTGAACTCACCGTTTGGCGAATGAAGTCAGGGTTGAACCGCACACCTTCACCCCATAGCCTCATTAGTTCAGGGGTGGGAAGCTTCTTGGACAACAAAGCAGAGACGGATTCGCTACTTCCACCTCTTACGATAGCAACAAAGTCTTCCACCTCACTGTCAGTCCCTTTCTCCTCTGGAAAGAGACAAATTACTTACTTAAGCTTATCTGCTCAATGTAAGACAGACTGACAGAACTATGATCAAACAGGAGACCCCACCTCCCATCTCGTTCAGCAGGCCATCACAGGATCCCCCGTGAAACCCCCCTGATACATAGACACCATATATGTTTGCGCCAACCTTTAAACCTGCCTGTACGCAGTTCTTGTAGTCTTCTAAAGAATATTCTGGGATAAAGAGAAAAAAAACCCTCAGAGACCGTTTCTTTCACTGAATAAAGCAAAGACTAGTTCAAACAGTCTTAAAGTGTTGACAGCTTATTTCTAACAGTAACGGTCTAGGATTTCTTGTCATGTCATCTAAATATGGAAACAACTGACTGAGAACGCCTAACTAAAGCTTGTTGAGGACTCCTACCTGTCTTTGCAAGCTTCTCTTTGTCCAAAATAATGGTGTGCTCATAGTCTCCTCCGAGGGCAGCCTCGGTGACATAGTGGGTGCCATAGTCCCTGTAAATCTGCCTGTATTCCCCATAATCATAAGCCTGTGGCAGGGCGCGTAGGCGCCGTAGAAACTCGGGGTGTAGCATTAAATCATCCGGCTTCAGCATGTACTGGGCCAACTCCAGCTCTGCCTTGGCCCTCACAAAGCTGTTTGTCTGGGCATCAGAGAATGCAGGTCAAAGTTACCAAAGTTAAAGTCAAAGTTAATACAACATATATTTTGGATATGTGGATATTTGAAAACAGAGTGAGAAGTTCAAGGTAACGTAAAGAGATCTGCACGCATTAAAAACAACCCAAAACATGACACCTCACCTTCCCAGAGGCACTGCGAAGTTTCTTAACTGACTTGCTGTATTTGTTATCATTGTAGTTGAAGCCAAACTCGAAAATTCCTGGAATGCCAAAACCGAAGGAAACAACGGTTTTGCTAGTGCGCTCCTTCATGGTGTAGTCCATGTAGTCAGAGTAGGATTCAAAAGCCTGCAGGCTAAAATCATAGGAGCCTCTCGTCTGTGGACAAAATAAATAAATAAATAAATGTTTTGTGTGAAAACTAAATGGTAATGGTTAATTAGTCATATTAAGCGTGAACTGGCCTTTCTGTTCACCCCCATTGAGGTGTTAGCTCAAAAACAAGACAACAAAGGGTATAGAGTAGAAAACCCTATTTTAAAGTTTTCAAAAATGGTGTGGCAAGAGGTTCACAAGAGCTTTAATCTGTACCCATACTTTCAAAAATGTGCACCCCTGTGGCACAACCCCAAAATTAAAAAAGGTAAACAAACAATTTACTGGCCACAATGGCACAAAAAAGTGATTTAAATGAAGAGAACACGCTCATGTCTTTTAACGATCTGACAGTAAAATTTAATTTGGAAGGACCCGGCCATTTCTGGCAATATTTGCAAATTAGGGATTGTTTGAAAGATAAAATAAAGCTGTCTCAGGAGACAAATCTTCTAGAGAATTTCCTTTTACTTACACCCTTACTTACAAAAAGATCTGGATTGATCCTTTGATAAGGGAACATGGGATTCAATCATCTCTGAAAATGGGTTTTACATAAGGGAAGCTAGAGGTAAATTTGTCCAATATAAAATTCTCAACAGGTACTATTACACACAGATGAGACTTTTTAAAATTAGTAAAGATGACTTGTGTTGGAAGTGCATAAAAAGCAAAGGGTAAGCTAGTGCATGCTATGTGGGAATATCCACTGGTCTCCCCAATATGGGAAAATGTTTTAAAATATATGGAGGGCTGGGTGAAATTTAAGTTTCCTAGATCACCAAGACTGTGCCTATTGGGGGACAGAGGCGAGGTGCCAGAGCTAGAAAAAGCAGGCTTCAGTGTTAAACACTGGGCTTGTGACCTGTGTTCATATTATTTTAACACTTTGGAAAGTGCCTCGGACCCCTACTGTTTCTTTAAATGTTCAAAAAATAATAAAAACTTAAAACAAATAGTCATATTAAGAGTACTTTGAACACAGATGATACTGCAATGATATAACAATGGCATAGCAACATGGCAACAATTTTGTTTTAAAACTTCAATAAACCATTAGTAAATGAATTCGTTTATGATTACTACCACAATACTGGACAGAAGTGTATTTGTCTGCTTTTTCACCTGAAAGGTGTACTGTTGTAAGTTGTAGGGCTTCCTGAATCTGACGTCTTGGATGTAGTGGGGCAGGCAGCTGCCTGCATAGTATCTGTTATCAAGCACCAGTCCTTCCAGGTTACTGTTCAAGATGTTTATTCTGAAAGAACAGCAATGATTCTAACTGTGCATGGATTGGATTTAGAAGATTGGATAGATAAAAAGTACATAAAACACAAATAATAACACAAGACAACACAGACTAGTGGAAACATAGCTCACCCTTTGGCAAGGTTTTCGATTCCCCAGTACTCCTCAGCCTCCTGCCTGCAGGGCTTGGGAACCTTCCTGCAGCCATTTTCATCTGACATGTCCCCACAGTCATCCTCCCCGTTACACTGCAGAGTTCTAGGAATACAGCGACCTGACAGAGCAGAGGAATATATGGTGTTAAACCATGACTTCTTTCCAGACAGGCAGTGTGCAAAATAAGCATGTTTGCAGAATTGGATCCATTTTGCAAAATTATCTGTAACATAAAATCAAAAAAATGTGTTTCAAAAGTTTTTTTTTACTTTCAAGTGAAGAGTTAGATAAGAATTAGATAAAGAGTTGATTTGATTCTTAACATGTCTCTGTCAAGTGGCGGTCATCAGTTTGCTAAGCTTAGGGAATAAAGCAAGTTGGACTCCAAATAAAGAATATTGACTCCAGAAAGTCACAACTTATTCCCAAAATGTAATCTCTCCAGTGAATTCTGGGTCTTCCCTGGGGCCTCTTCTCAGAACACATCACCTAGGAGGCACTAAGGAGGCATCCTGGTCAGATGTCTCAACCACCTCAACTGGCTCCTTGCATCCTGGAGGACTAGCCGCTCTGTTTCAAGACCCTGCTGACCCCCTGTCACCCTTTGGAGGATGCTCATTTGTGCTGCAATCTTGTTTTTCTAGTCACTCAGAAAATAGCTCAATCAGTAAAATTTAAATTGTATCTAGGTTGGACAGTCAAAAACTTTGTTTAAAATTAGATCATTTACGATTATATAGCGGCTGAACCCAGTAAAAGTAAAATTGCTAGATAATTTGAAATTTTCAGACTGGAAAGAAGACTTGATTATATCAAACACATAACAGTAACGTCCGTGCAATGTGAATTCTTAAACATTGAAAAATTACTGCTGTGCGGTTTCTATTCCGACTAGTGTTGGAGTTACCTGTTTGGGTGCAGAGGAAGCCCTCACAGAGAGGAACACTGTCACAAGTGTAGCGGGCTGGAACATTACAGGCCTCCTCCTCCCTGGCATGGGAATTGCACTGTTCCCCTCCAAACTCAGAAGGCTGCTCCACTTTGGCATAGCGATACTGTGATGTTGCGGGTCACAGAAACACAAGAGATTTTGCCAGTATCCAATAACGGTGGCCTGAAAACTGCTCCCGGGGAGCTATCAGCTGAAATCACATTAGCGGGCTCTTTCCACTTTGTCATGTCAAGGTTATTAATCCCTTTACTTGTAAAGTGGATAAAATAGAGCACTGAAGTATATCAGCTGAGTCCTTCACCAGACACTGAGCTCTCGGCTTTCACAAAAACAGGTCACAAGTGTCAAAATGTAGAATGCTCCAGATTTAGCTCTCAATCCTAGCCCCATAGGAATGATTCATCCAGTCTAAACTACGCTAAATTAAGCTAATCTGACCGTGGAAATGTAACATTTGATTTAAGAAGTTTATCTGGCTTGTAATTCTGTGGGTTAGTTCAACTAAAAATAGTATTGCTTGATTTCTGAGTTTGAGATGAAAGATTTTGTTTCAACTTTTGATATTTTAGGAAACATATTTTATTTGCCTTTTGCCAAAAATTCCCATTGAAACAATACTAAGTTAGCTCGCAGGCTAATTTAGCATTTTTATATTTAGCATAATTTAGCAGATTTATTTTTAAAATATATAGGTCTTCTAGGCAAATTCTACATTTGGACTAAACCAGGTAAGCCGTTTCCACTGTAGATGATCTACTATTAGCCGACTGCTGCCTGAAGCTCCATGGTTCAGACTTGAGAATAGTAGCTCTGCTCATCTACTTTCAAACAAATTCTTTTAAATAGTCTTTAATACCTCTTTTTGTTTGCCCTATCTCTAAAGCAGTCTACAGTATAACCAATGACCAACCATTGTTGGGGGTAAATTCACATGAGGCTGAATCAGAGGCTGTTCCACATTCTTGGACTAACAATGACTGTATTTTTTTTCTAATTTTTTATTAAAGCATTGCATTCAGACTTAAGTTCTGCTTGTATTTGTCCACTGGTCAGCTGCTCTGTGAGGCAGCACACGGTTTGCTTATGCACAGCTGGATGAATCAGATTGTCTGATGAGATCCAGTCATATTTCTGCAGATTTCACCGTATGTTCTTGTTGATTTAACTAACATCTCATAGCCATTATACTTACTTTCTTCTTTTGACAGATGTCACAACGTGACCATGTGCTCCACTCTGACAAAATGCAATCCACTGGGTGAATTACCACTGGGTCACCCACTGACCGGGCTTGACGACTGCTAGGGTCTTCATTGCTTCCTGTGGCCACTGCAACGTTACTGCTACATGCAGATTAAAAACCCACATCAAAACAAACAGAGCAATGCGGCACTGGGAGCAAAGGTCATGTGTTTTTTTTCAAAAGCATCTGATCAAAATATAATAGCTTGTGAAAGGAATACAAATTTAAGTGTCAAATGAGGTGCTTCTAAACTTCCTAATTTGTCAGCTGGTCTTTGACAGATAAATAGTTACAACAATTATTAATTAATTCCTGTGGAACCTACTCAGCAAATGAAAAATAAGCTTATCAATTCATTGCAGTTAAAAAAAATAAATCTCCTACCTTAGCAGCACCAAACTCAAAGTAACGTGGAGTAGACAACTGTGCAAACTGATTGCACTGCTCTGTATCACCACAGAAAGCATGTTTGTGTGTTGTGACTGACTGTGAATGAGGAGAAGACACTCTGCTCTCTATGTAAACACAGCCTGATCGATAATGGACTGCATATGAACTGCTGCCATTAAAGTCAGACGTGGAGCTGGAGTCAGAATACTGCAGGCATTCAGGGCCACAAAGCCAGTGTTATGGTGTTGTCTGTGTGGCTGGGACACATACCTCAAGTTTACTTAAACATTATAGAATTTGCAGAGCTTGCAGGTTTGGTCAGCCCAAATTATATGGATGTATTTTTAGTTTTCATAAACCTTAGTCTGTATAATCTGTAGGAATCAATGAATCTGGATGCCTATAAAGTATTTCCATTAAAATATGCCAGTGGTGAAATATCAAGAGTTTGTAATGAAGAAAATTCCAGCAAAGTCATTTGAATCATGTTTCCCTACGTGTGACCTTTAAGCTTTATTTATCTTGACTGGTTTGCGGGATTTCACAGAATGACACAACCACAGGAGTCAGCTGTACTTAGTGAAAAGCAATGAAAGTAATGAAACTGCCATGACTCACACTGAGTCTGCAACGGCTGCTTTGTCATGTTATACATTCAAAATTTAGGCTTCTGCTTTGTAAAGATAGTAGTGGTAGAAGCTAAGTCATATGCAGACATTTAAGTACAGTACTAAAGTATATACACTCCTGTGCAAAAGTCTTGAGCCACCCCTAATTTCTTTCTATTTTGTTTTGAAGGAGCCAGACTTTGTTGTAATGTTTTAAAGTGGTCTTGAGCGATAGTTCTCCAGGCTTTCCAAAGGTCTTTCAAAGTTCTTCTTTCTCCTCATTTTCAGTCCAGTCCATGTTTCTGGCCATTTCTCCAGGAATGTTTTCTGTTTGTTTGTTGAGCCACTAACACTGACCTATTACTCATTCAAACTGGGCTAGAATAACAAAACCTAGCAAATTAAATTGTGTCTTTAGACATTTTCTTACATTGGTTACTTTTCCACGTATTTCCAGTCCTGTCTATGTACCTGATCATTTTCACACTAGTGGCTTTGTTGTCGTTGTTGTTGTTGTCAAACCACTTAAGACTGACCTATGGATATTTCAAGCCTTAGAAGGCACCTAACAAGGAATAAAACCAGTGTTGTGTCTACACATAACCAATAACCAATTTAAATGATATTTTGTTCCCATTTCTTTAGTTGCATCTATGAAAAATGCCAAAGTACAGTTTTACAGACATACTTTTGCACCATTAAGGAGCAGCAAAAAATGGCACATCTTAGCTTAGCATGGTGTGCAGTGTGTCATTCAAAAAATTTGAGGAAACTGGACAAATAGAAGACAGAAGAAAGTGACAAACAGTATCTGAAAGTCACCCTGGGGGAAAAATCCCGGAAAGACCCGACACATGTCCTGACAGACGCATCTGAATCTTCAGCTGATTTATTTACTGTTCGCTGAATTTTAATCAGAAATGGCCTCAGTGGGAGGGTGGCTGTCAGGAAGCCTTTTTTTTAACGAAGGAAAACAAGGAGAAAAAACTCGGATACACCAAACTGCACAATAGTAACTTTTTGATTTGTCACTAAAACAGTCACCACTTTTCGAAAACCAGATAATGAGTTTTTGCAGTTTCAGCAAAAGGTTTTCCCCTCTAAAATACTTCCTTAAATATGGATGAATCTGTAAAAATCTGGAGATGTAATTTTTCATACACATACACACACACTAAAAAAAAACAAAAAACAGCAAAGGCAAAGGTGGGAATCACATGGTATTTTATTTGTGACTGAACAGTGGCATGGGTACAGTGTATGGGGGAAGTCATAGACGTACAAAAGTCCTTTTTTTTTTCCTTTTTCATGACAATTCTTAATTCCATAAATAAAATTTACAAAATATTTTGGGACTATTTCTCATTTTTCTTACACAAGCAGGGGTACAGTTACCATTTGTTTTTGTAAGTCTAGCAGTTAATAGTGATATCTCTATTGTTCATATTATATAAAGTCGCCTGTCTTTTCAACCGTCTTACTTCAGTGGAGCAGACCTACAGTATGCCTAAGTGCTTTGTCACAACAATGACCTGCTTACTGTATACACCGACAAATGAAAAAGAAAACGATAAAAGACGATAAAAAGAAACGCGATAAGGCATCGAAACGCTATCGACCGTCTCCGAGCTTGGCGTGATCGAGCCGCGTCAGTGCAGGATGAGTTGATTCTGCTCGCCTATTAAACCAGAGATACGGTTAGATGACAGGCAAAGTGTAAACAACGTGACCTCAGTTGGAAATGTCAAATATCTAAAAAGCAAAGCGTCCTATCACTACAACAAAAAAGAAAAAGCGGTTGTCGTTTTGGCCCCGTCGCTCGTGTCATTTTTCAAGTTCAAAATGAGCAAAAACTGGGTCTAGTAAGTTTTTTTTTAATTTTATTTTTAATGACAATGTAACACAGATTCACAGTTCATTTCTCACTAACTGAACAGAAGACAGTTTTTGAAATTTAAAAAAAGAAAAGTAAAAGGCGAAACAAATGTCCAGATGTCCAAAAAAAAAAAGAAAGAAAAAAAAGAAGAAGGAGGTGCTGGTAGGGCATTGTTTGAGAGAAACACAGGTAGTTGGCATCCAAGAGGCAGAGAGCTATCTTATGGCACAGAGGCTCGGGTGTGGGGGAGTGGGAAGATTCTTATTTACAAAATAGATGTTTGGCAAATCTTGATTTCCATGCTGATGCCTCAGAGTCATGTGGATATCTGCAGTGACTCAGCGTCATCAACCGAGAATTCACAGCTTATAAAATAAAAACAAAAATGAAATAACGTTTCTTTTTTTAAAAAAACTGTTGCAGGCCTAGAAGGAAGCTGCGGAGATCAGCTCTGCTCACAGCCGAGTCCGCTGAACCCACGTTAGGTCTGTTCATGCAAATGGCTGAGTCGGTGGAGCGACGCTATGAGAACATTTGGCAAATCTTCCTGCTGTGCACAGTGTTTGCTGGTGGCAGCTGACGAACTTGAAGGTCAACCGCATCCAGTAGGACGCTGCTCCTCTCTCTTTTCCAAAAAATAATTTGCATCATCAGTGTAACCATGTTGTTTTTTTCTTTTGTCTTTTACATCATTGCAGATATAAACTCATTAATCCAGAACAGGAGGACGCAATCACCTCCTGTTGTCAGTTTCGGTCAAAGATAAAAGGTCACTTCCTGGTTGAAAGGTTAATTGATTGGACGATGAAGCCAAAGTCTGGAGTACAGTACAGTACAGTAAGCGGCCTCTGGAGGAAAGCAGATCCTAGGATAGCCAGCTATTACATAACTGCCAAAATATCCTTTAAAGGTTGAAAAAAAAAACAGCAGTCTGTGTTTCAGGCTGTGAGATGCTGCTGCTCACAGTCGCTCATCTCTCTTTTCTTCTTTTTCTCGTGAGCTCATGTTTCGGCCTTTAGAGCTTCCATCACCCTAAAAGACAAACAGCAATCATTTCAAAATCACTTAGCAGCACTAGTGCTGTTACAACTTTCGTCACAAGGTGGCAACATTGTGCCTTTCTTATTTCTGGGACGACGCAGAGAGCTGGAGGACAGAAACAGAATTTAAACCAAGGCCCTTTCTCAACTGGCCACTCATTCACACGGAAAAAGGAGATATACTGACAGGTGAAAATACAAGGATAATAAAAAGAGACAGCGAGAGGGAAGAGCAGGATGAGAGGAGCTGGGGAGAGAGGACCCAAATGCAACAATGTGAAGACAGCTGATATTTAACTGAGAAAATCAGAGAAAGAAGGAAACCATGAAATACCAACTCACTGTCTGATGTTCTCTAGCTGTCTTCCTGTGGACATGTCTGATCCTGTGGAGGATCAGCAGCTTCGCTGGGCACAACGGCAGAGCCCTGAGAGAGAAAACACAATAAAATTTCTCCTTTAGACGTGACGTGTTTGTCAAGATCAGGCGATCCTCAGCTTGTTAAACCTCCTGCATTTCCCCCGAAAAACAGGAAAACATTTAGGAAAGTGACATCGAGTTTAATTACCTTGAAATTTTGCCTTATTATACATGATCTAATCAAAGCACTTAAATCATTTTTGACCTTTCGTGTTTAATTGACTTGACATTTTTCTAGAAAAAAGGTTAAACTCGAATTTGGCCATAATAATCACGACATTCTAATCTGCGTAATTACATGTTACATAATTGAGAATAGGTCACCCATGTGGCAGTAATGGATTGTAGCATCATGCTAGTCAGCTGTTCTATGAAAAATCTATGAATCTAAATGACTGACATGACCCCCAGAGGGGCCGTCCTCACCGATTGTTCCTCCTTAGCGTTGCTGGAGTTGCCCTCAGGGTCAACAGGGGAGTGATCTGTGGGTGGGTCACTGCCTTGGGAAGGGGGGCAGTCTGAAGATGAGCTCTGCTGTGGGGCTGGAGTGGATGCTAAGGAGAAGAACATAATCATAAAGATGAAAGAAAAATATTCACAGAACACAGTAAAAGTACTTATAGATGGATTTTGTGCTAATCTGCTCTGTGAGTATTCTGGCATTGTGGCTGGTAGCATGGATGTGCTTATAGGGAAGCAGTAAGTGTAAAACTATGACCTTTATTGCTTGTCATCACCTATCCTTTTTATCTAATGTACTTGACATTCTATAAAACTAAGGACAACCCTCTTCGTTTTCTTAAGGTTAACAGAGTTTTTTGGTTAAAGCTGTAAAGACACAAGGCAAGATGTACAGACATGCTAGTAGTTTTGTGACATTATGTAGGCTATATAAAACTGAGGTGAATGCTAATGTCTGCATGCTAATATATTAGCTTTTTGATTTTTAGCAGGTGTACAGCAATGTTAGTGTGCTAACATTTGCTCATTAGCCCAGTTGCTAATTGCTAATTAATTAGCTAATTAAGTAGCTAATTGCTAATTAGCCTGGGTGTTGATTTGTACCACAGTGAATATAAAACATGTACAAGTGTTTTGTAAATTTTGGTCATACTATGTTACAAAATGTACAATTATATGTGGTATTTTCATTGATTAATGACTTGCGATTGACAAGTTCTTAGCTAGTGTTAGCCAAGTCGTTGCAGCCAGTTTTTTTTTTAATTACATGTATTAAAACTATATGCATGTAACTTATTTTAAGGTAGTACATATAATTGTTACAATAATATAAGTAACTAAAAACATTTCACATGCCTGGTGGATTTAGAAAATACTTCTGTTCAGTCATTCTCTATGGAGGAATATCTGCACAGAACTAAATCAAACATTTATAAGTGTTGACCTTTTTCAAAAGGGGATCGAGAAGATGAAAAAATGCATTGAGCTAGTCATATAAAATGGCACAGATGCTGGTTTGAGTAATTATGTAGAAGGTAAATAATAAAAAAAAACACTTACGAGACTCAGTAGACGGTGAAGTCGATGTACCTGGGCTCAGAGTCATCCTAGAGAGATCAAGGTCGCTACAGCTCCCTTCTTCTTCCTGGGTCGCAGCAGCTGGAGGTGGCAGGAGCTGACTGCAGGCCAGTGTGTCCGGTACACTCATGAGGCCTGGAGTGCCGCACCTGCTCACCCCTGCTGATACAGCACCAGGTTCTACTGATACAGCTGCTCCCGATGTAGAAGGACCCTCACCTGCATCTGAGTCGAGGCCTTCTTTACCCAGGCTGAGCTGCTTCTGGAGCAGGGTGGGGTCGGCCGTATGCTGGGGGCTGGTGATGGCTGAGGACGGGGCTGATAGGTCGCAGGCCTGGGGGCACATTGTGGTTATGGGTACTAAGCCCTGGAGCATGGCGGCTGGGATGGCGTGGCCCCCCACGCCCACTGTCTGGGCCGGCATGTAGGCTGCCATAGCTGCCCACTGCTGCTGTGTAGCAGGGAAAATGTTGGCCTGGCTCCAGATGACCGGCTGACCACTGGGGAGGACCTGAGCCACCTGCAGAGGTGCCTGCACAGGGAAGGCCAGAGTCTGAGCCTGGGCGGAAAATGGCTGCTGAGCCCACTGTGCTGCCTGCACAGGGCCCATGGTCATATAACCTGAAACAGGAACAAGAGTGACAGAGAAAAGAAAAGGAAACGATTAAAGGTCTCCGTGGTTACCAATTCAGTGCACATTATTAAAATGACAGATACTCATCTATAAATACTTCCAATCTTTAAAAATGAGCTATTTAATTCTGAATATAAGAGTAAAAGAGATGCAATCATTCTTTTTACAGTCTTAGATTCACAGGGACTTTTCTTGTCGACCTCCTTTTGGCACTATAATCTTTCCAAATCATATTTTTGTCACATTTATGCTATTATTTGTGATAGTACAGTCACAAACTTGTTTGAAAATGGTTTGCTGCTGTAGTGCTCCAAGTCATCAGAATGACTTAAATTTAATTTTTCCTTCTTACTCTTTAAATCTTACTGTGAATGAAACCAAGCCAAAATCGGACAGATAACTGGCTATAAATGTATATTAGGGAACATACAGAGGTACAATCAATGTACAATCCAGTTGTAAACCAGTGCTGCACATGTAGTATAAATAAGAACTAAAACAATGTTCCTGCATGAGGCCTGCTGACTTCATATTATAAGCGCTGTTATCTTAGACAGACACACTGTGAAAAGAATGATTGTGAAGGTTGTTGTTTCTTGCATCTAAAAGGATGTTGCTCTTCAGCGAGCTGCTGTTTTAAACGATATATCTTTTTTTCTTCAGTTTTTTACAATGCCAGTTGTTTCAGTAAAGTATGCAAAATCACTGTAGTGGTTCTTCAAGTAACACCACTTTGCTGTATCTCGCCACAGGTTTACAGCCTAATTAAACTGCATCTCTGTGTGCGGTCCTTAAATTCGCTCACTGCTAAATCTTGGCAAGATTTTTCATGAACCGAACATCAAAGAGCCACGTCGCCACCGGCGTTCTTTATTTTTTCTCGCATTGTGGAAAACGATGAAGCGTTTCAGCCTGGGTATGGATACCTGATGGCACAGAGGTGGGGCTGAAGGGGGCGTACAGCTCAGCAGGAGTGTGTTGCTGCTGGCGGCTGCTCCTGCTAGGGTCCAGTGTGTTGGCAGGTGATGGGGGCATCTGGGAGGAAATGCATACACACGCACATGCACAGATGTCACCGTGCTATCAAAGTCACCTAAAAGTCACAATATCTTTGGCTGCAGTGTCTGCCACATATTCAGATCATTTAGATCTCAGTAAATAACCTAATGAAATTAAATGACATTACATGTTGGAGCTAAAAAAAAAAGAGGGTTTGTGTTATAGTACTCACCGAAGGAGGAGTTGACATGTCGCCGAAAAGATCAAAGTGGTTGATATTCTGTCAGTCGAACCGAGGAATGAGGGAGAGAGAAAGACAAAGGCCAGTGATACATCACGCAAATGAGACTTGCACAACCATGAAGCCTTAAATTCATCTCCGGATAGGGTACGGTGGTTGCATGGGTGGGTAGGTGCGGGGAAGTGAATGTTACTCACGAAGGCAGTTTGTGCCGCGGATGGCAAGAAACAACTGTCCCCTCGATTCATTATCAGAAAATGGATCTAAAATGAATCTTTCGTAGCTCGCTATAATTGAGTGGGTAAAAGGCTATTCAGCCCTGTAAAGCAGACTCTGATTAGATATTCTTATGTGCGCCAATCAAGAGCCCCTCCACTCCCACCCCTCCCATGAGAGCTCGGGCTGCTTTATCATGCTGATTTCCCTCTGTGAGCACATACACGGGGGGACTGTGTTTATATCATCAAATGAATGAGGGAAGAAGCTCCTGGAACCACCCGACCGAGGCAATGAGGCCACCTCACCCTATAGGCAGATGCGACCCCTGCTCTAGTCCCCTCTGTCCTCCACTCACACTACTTAAAGGAGAGGAGACCTAGCTATGGGAGAGACTATGAGATGGCTAGGTTGCGTGAAATGTCTCTGAGGGGAGGGGGGGCCATGCACAAGCAGACAATGATTCACCATAAAATGCACAAAAACACACAGGATTTACATGCTGTAAAAGAAACAGACAAACACACAAACACAACGTGGTCAAACCAAAGAAAGGAAAAGGGGGAGGAATCACAGCAATCCACGTTGCTGCGGACAGGGCGTTTATGTCCTCCTCCGATAAGCTGGGACATAACCGATTGTAACTGCATTTCGAAACCATCGAGGGGGACAGAATGAGTCCGAATTTGGAGCGAGGTAAACACTGTACACAGAGATCTCTGCCCGCCGGCACCGACACACATCAGGGGAGCTCGAGGCTCTCAGAAAGCTCCAACTGAATGAACAGACAAGCAGTAACACTTAGAGATATGGAAGCGCTGCTACTTAATATACTGGCATGGGCTGTTCAGGTGAGATAGCAACAGGGGCTGGGACAGTTTATCTGCCTGATAGGCTGAGCAACAAGCACAGAAACAGCGAGGAGAAGGAGGAGAAGAAGAGCACTTTGCCGCAGCTGTTTTCAGAGGTTACATGGAGGTTCTTACTGGGTTAATGCTTGACAAAATTGGTTTGAATAAATGTTTTTTATCCTTTACAAGCGACTTGAGAGATGTAACAGCGTAGTCACTGCATGGCGGTGAAGAACTCATAAAGCCTAGCAAGATGAGATGAAATATATTTTCAGTTAGATGACATGGCAGGGGGATGGGGGTCAAAAGTGCATTTCTTTTTATGCTGTTCTCTGGTCAGATGCTATTTGTTAAAGTAAAGCTTTTATGAGTGTTTGGCGGCCTTGGATTGTATGTAACTGCGACTACACCTCATGCAGCTCAACCCGACACCCGCCCCCACCTACAAACCTCTCGTCCTCGACCTCTGAGGAAGATGAAGCAGCCACTCCTTTGTTTATCTAATCAGCCCCCTGCACCGTCAGTTGGGACCAGCAAACAGACTCTTTGTCTTGACATTAATCAGATTGTGCAGAGATTCAGATTTTGGCTAAGAGACCCGTCCTCTAACGTTGTGTGAAATTGCTGACATGCATGCTTTTGGTTGACAAATCAATTTGTTTCGATTCTTTAAGCATGCTTATCATGATCAGTAGCTTTGTTGTCACAGAAAATACCAGACGCAGACACACACATACACCCCTGTGTGACTGCGTCCTTGTCTCGAGAAGTTTGTTTTTAGAAGCCTGTCGGCTGTAATTCATAACTGAAACCATTAGATAGCAGCAGATTAAATTACTAGAAATGGATGGTGGCTTAAGGCACTTCCTTCAAGAGCATCTTAAAGAGAGGTTTGCAAGTAGAAAAATAGGAAAAGTAAATAATAATTCGAAAAAAACAAAACACCTACAGTCATGAAATGGCGTTTTGGGACATCATAGATCCCTTCCTTCTGCTGACTGGTTGGGACCTGCATTGGATTGGAGGTCGAGTCAAACGTAAGTCACATTCAACACCTTTTTTTTTCTTGGCTGAGTATTTAAGAACAAGAACTTACAAGAGCTGAAACATGTCTGAATCAATTTCTATCTGGGCCATTTATTTAGATGCGTTTTCATCGTTTAGCGCAATAGGATTATGCAGATTTTAAAGTTGCGGCACCGAATCAATTCTACTTAAATCAATATCGATTGCAAACAGTGCCTGAGAACGGTGTGTGCTGGGCTCGTGAGTATTTGTTAATCAGCAACAGCACATCTCAACTACTTTATCTGGCTATATATAAAGAAAAAAACCTCCTGAGCTCTGGCCTGTTCTGTTTATTTCGTTCACAATTATCCAAACTATCTGTTGCTCTTAAACTCATCTGTCACACCCCCCCCACTCCTCCACGCTCCTTCGACTGGTTAACTTTTGGTTACGTTTTTTCCCCGAGTCTATTGATCTTGTTTCACTCTGAGATCAAATGGCATGGCAAGTGATTAATCTCTCACTCTCTCTGCATCTTTCATCTTCAGAAGAAGGCAAGATACAGAGAAGCAAAAAGAGGAGGAGGAAGAGAAGAGAGGGCGAAAGAGAAGGGAGGCTGGGGAATTGGATTAAACCATACGCCAGCTCCCTGGAGTCCTAGTTGGAGCTTCAAATGGTCTAAAACCAAAAGGTCATCGTATTGGATATATAAAAGCAGAATGTTATACAGGCTGTGGGTGAACTATTCAGACTAAACAACTGACCTTGACTCGGACATCATTTTTTTAACGTAAAGCTGATGCCTTTTCAATGCCAGCATCTTTAAAGTTACAGCCCTTGAGATTTTCAACATTATTCATCATCTTTATGATACTTTTCAGCGTTACCCTTTACCATTTAGTAGATATCATTGTTTGCAAGGTAGCCATCTTTAATATGATCTGCTGGTGCTCATCGTGTAATTATATTCAGCATGAAAGTTTTTTTTTGTTTGCATGAAATTTTACTACAGAATTTCCTCGTCAGGAACATTAGCTTGATGTACTTATGAAAGTTTGGCATTTTTTTTAATTCTTTAAGATGTGCTACGAAGTTATAATATTAGTACTGTTTGTATTATCTATCACAGGGTATGAAGAGGGAAGAAGAATGGGGGGCAATGTTTGTCTTTGTACCTGATAAACGCTCTCCTCTGACTGGGGGCCACGGAGGGGTTCGTGTCCAGCCTCAAACACTATGTACTAAAGAACAGAAGTAGTGGGCAAGGCGTATAGGTGCAGAGAATAATGAGATGGAAGAGAGAGAGCAGAGAGAGACAGATTGGTATATAAAACAGAAAGACAGAGGTAGTGAAACATGACAAGAATACATGAAAGCACACAGGAGTGAGGATGGCGTCAAGTGGGAAATGAAATGAGATAGTGTATAAAAATAGGGCATGGAAAAAAGGAATGGAGAGGATGAAAGGAGGAAGAAAAAAAGTGAGGTGTGAAGAGGAAAGAGCACAAGTATAACAGGTCAGGCAATAGTTCAAGGCAGTGTAGAGGTTTTAGCTTGAGGTCTTCCTTCAACCTCAGGAATGCTCCACCTCTTCCAGAGAAAACAGACCTATTGGTCTGAATATTTTCTTTAAATCCTTTAATGAAGTCTTAAAATCTGTCATTAATTCCTTTAACGTTTAAGAAGTGTTTCACATCTTGGGACATGTGCTTAGTCATCTTGCGTGTAGAGTAAGATGAGAGAACTGCTACTTTATCACACTGGCAATCGTAAATACTTAGCTGAAAACAGCTAATTAGCTTATCATATAGACCAGAAAAGAGCTAGCCAGGCAACAAGCACATTAATTCATGATATAAGTTATATAGTATGTATTATATCAATTACTGAATTATAAAAAAAAATCTAGGATGTTTTTTTGGTTGACGGCACCTCAAGAAAGTTAGCACAGTTAGCGAAGAGGAAAAATTAGCAAAAATGTCATTTTTACCCTTTGATTTTTCCAAGGACTAAAAACACAAAATTTACTTTTTAAAAGGGAGTTTAAGAGGTGCTAGTAAGCTTAATTTATTTTCTTTAGACCCAGCCAGGTTGTTAGGCTAGCTATTAGTTCTTTATGCTAAGCTAACTGGCTTGTAGTTCCATGTTTGGGTACAGTTTTCAGACCATAGGCAGGATAACACATGGATGTATCCTCTGAATCTGAGAAGCCAGTGGAAGTGCTCAAAGCTACATTCTATCAGAAGGCCACCAGATGGCTGTGGTTGCAAAAAGACTACAGAGCCTATATTGTCTTCTCATGTGATTTCAAGCCCACAATGCTCAAAAGTGATGTTGAACCTACAGGACATGAAACCATTGGTCGTGAGAGAAAAAGCAACGTCAACAAAAGCAACATCAAACCCCAGCTAGCAGGTTTTCCTCTTGTAAACAGTAACCCTACAGTGTGACCAAAATGGCCAACAAGTTAAGTCATTAGCTGTTATGCGCCGGCAAAGTCTTTCCTGATGACATTATGGGCTGAGTCGCTCATTTCAGGTCATACTGGTTATACTGTGTTTCAGAATGGAGGACTATCAGTATTGTTTTTATTGGCCAATGACTTACAAGTTTTTTTAGCCAGTGAGCGGGTTCACAATGAGACCTGCCCCTCTTGTCATATGGTTGTTAGTGTTTTTTTTAAACCAATATCGTGATGGTGAGAACACCAACCTCGAGGCTTCAAAACCAAGGGCCAGATTAACTAAATGGGTTAAAGTAGCTCATGAGCGCAATGCCCAAATAGCATTTATAGGTGTGCTTAGTTGTTCAGGTGATTTACAAAAGTGGCGCTGCTCTCTAAACCCAGTCAGTTGATTTCAATATCAAGCACAAAAATGTGCATTAAATATTAGCATACTTAGCAATAATTTGCATGTCACAAACATTAATACATCATTTTGTGCACTTGATTTAAATATTTGTGTCCCTATATTTTGCATCTTGAGAACTACATGTGCAACAAGTATAGTTCCCACCTCTTGCACGCAATCTTGTCACTGTGATGTCTTTGTAAATACCAACAGTACCTTTTGTTTTTACACCTAAACCCAATTTGTGCTGGCACAACGCATTCGTAAAACTGATCCTAAGACTTTAGGAACCAATAAATGAAGTCATGTTTGCTAAGTCTAGCTTTTACACTGTCTGTGATACAGACATGAGAGTTGCACTGGTCCACTTATCTAACTCTTCGCAAGAAATCAATTAAGCATGTTTCCCCAGATGTCAAACAGTTCCTTCTGGGAGCAGGCTGGAGTTTTGTCAACCAACATCAACATAAATTGAAAGCTGCAAATGGAATGATCATACGTGAAAACATACTTGAAGAGCAAAGAACAGAGGTGAACTGGGAGGTGGTTGGACGTATCACTGAACATAGCATTCAGAGTAAGAGTTAGTGTTGTCTGTATTCAGTGTGAGCAAACACAGAGAAAAAAAAATGTTGAGCCAAATAAATGCACAGGGCAAAAGGGACGGGAATAACAACCAGTCAAGGGGAGGGGGGCATGTTTTTGGAAGAAATCAGAACATTGACACAGATCAACTGAAAAAATATGGTTTTACAACACTGCACTGGCAAATGGGTGTTGAATGGTTGAACAAAACTGTCCACTAGATGGTCTACTGTGTATTACTGGAATGGTGCAATATTTATGAATCATTAATTCAAGCATGTCAGTGGCTGATATAAATTAAGGATTATTTGTTTATATATTTATTCCAAGCTTAATAAGGGAAAACAGCTAGAAAGCATCAAAGTCAGCCGTGTTTTGCTCCCGCTCTGAGTGCCTACGGACCTACCTGGTAAACTGGATCATCCACTTCATCTTCCAGGATAGTCTGTGTGTGCGGAACAGAAGGCAGATGACACATTTTGTTTTTCAGTCTCATTAGAGAATAAATTGAGAGAAGATGTTAAAAAAAAAAACAAACATCACCACCAGCAACAACAACAACAAAAAAATATACTCATCGCAGCGTGACATTTCCTGCAAGCAGGCACAATTATAGACTAACAGCACGTTGCTTTTTAATCAAACAGTTATTTGGCACATCACAGACAAAACAACACATATTTCCTAGAAGTGACAGTAATAATAATAATAATAATAATAATAATAATAATGATAAAATCAAACCAGCAAAACCTGTTGCTTTTCCATTGTAGTTAGATATTCAGAACAGAAATCAATGGTCCAGACAAACACACAAAACAGCGTCGCACTTTAAAGGAAGCTACAATGTGTTAAGATATTTGTTGTGTGAATGAATTGCAGGCGGAGCTATAAGGTGTGATCTCACCTCCAAATTAGAAATGAAACTGAGTGGAAAACAACAAAAAACGAAAGTGCAAAGACTTCAACGCAGGAAAACCTACCTGGTACACTGCCTGCTCACACTGTTTGTCCTTCTGGGCCTTCTTCTCCATCTCCTCCCGCTGTTTTATATCGTAGATGAGTGTGAAGAGGTCACGCAGGTCAATGATGAGAGGCTCCGCCTGGATGAGAGAATTGGAATATGATGGTGAAGGACTGAATTAAGAAAAGGTTAGCAATAGATGGTATATAATCAAAGTATCACCTCTCTGTCTCTGTCTCTCTCTATATATCTATATCTATATATACACATACATACATACATACATATACATATATACTATAGTACTAATAGTACTCCATCATCCATAACTAGAAGAAATTGTTTTATTTAAAATAGGAAATACACTGTTCATAATCTGAGACCTTAAACAGAGTTGTAGGCAAGTTAATAAACTAACATGTCATAGTCAAAGTCAACCTTATTCTCTTTCCTGCCAAATGTAAAGAATCAGAATTAAAATATTCATCAAGTGGGGAAAAGTACTCACAGACTGCGCGGTCTTGATGGCCACAAACCTGTGGTGGCCCTCCTTCCCACAGACATAGCCAAAGGCGCGATGATCCCGGGTGTCCTTGGCAATGTAGCTGATCTCATGGACTGAGTGGTGATGAAGGAGCACCTTGATAGCAAAAAAAGATGAGCGTGTTAGCTAAAACTAAACAAAAAAAGGTCTTCTGTTTCACGTGTCCTATTTGTCGTCTTCTACTTTAAGATGCAGAAATGAAAACCTGATGTATGATTTAAAATCCTCCCTTAAAAAAAACAGACCACAGTACTGTAAACTGTGCTGGGAGACAAAGTAGGTCAAAGCTACTTAAAACATCTTTGCATATTGTTGAGCCAAATGCAACACAACACAGAGTGTGCTTCAAAGAGTGCTCTCATCTCTGCATATAACTTTATGGATAATGTAGCTACAGAACTAGCATTCATTAAAGATATAAACCAGTAGCACGATTTTAGCTTTGTGCTGTTTTGTGATATCAGCAAGACTCGAGTTGCCGTTCGACGAAAAAAAACACCAAATTAGCAAGCAAGAGATATTAGCAGTTGCAAAACTATAAGTATATAGGAGTAACTCAGCTCTTCACACCCATCTGCTTCCTCCTCTCTTAGAAGATATGTGCTTAGACACCAGGAAGGAGCGCTTGTTTGAATATTAGCCGATATTCGGCGCCGTGTGTCGCCGGTAATGCCTCAGATTAATGTAAAATACAAAACTAATACGACTCGGGCACTCAATTCAGTGGCGAATCACATCAGCTTTACATGAAGCATTTCCATCTAAATGCTCGCTGACACAGCCTGTGCTCTAGCGATCCCCATTTCCACCTAAATAAGTCAAGAGGGGTATTAAGTGTGGAGTGTTATTTACTGCCAGTAATCAGTAAATAAAAAGAGGAGCATTAGGGGGCATGATTTCCGAGCAACAAATGAGCATGTCAAAAAGCTGGTGAGCTGCGCGGGTCGTGGCTGGAGGCTTAATGCTCTTTTTCATTAGAGGCGAAAGACGTACTACTATCACCACCAGTCACATTGAAAAGAGATATTATCAAAAAGATGAGGGGCTTTTTTGTTTGGTGGGGTGAGGGGTAGGCTGTTGGTGGTCGGGCGGGAGCTGGCAGCCACGGGACGAGCGCTGTTGCATAATTATCAGTTTAGCTCTAATGACAGCTGAGGTGGAGCCGGCGGTGTAATTAGCATTAGCGGCAATGATCATTAAGGGGTGGAACTGAGTGCTAATTATCGGTTAGCGCTGATGAGCAGAGTGGGCCTATCTAGCCAACACTACGCCGCGGGACGGGGGAGAAGCGAGCCCCTTGATCATCCTGTAATGGAACAGCAGGCCTCTGAGTCCGCCGGGTGGGGGTGGAAGCCAGGATGCAGGCGGAAACAGTCCATTTCATATCATCGCCATAAGACTGCTCACTGCACTATCATTAGCACACAGACAGGGCCTGAGTGATCTTAAGTAGGTCCTGCAGCAGCACTCCCCTAATCGCACTGGAGTAAACCACTTGGCTTTGGGTTGTAAAGCAAATGCAAGGCCCACAATCCAGTGCTGTCAAGTTTAACTTTTAAGGGCTAAAGGGCAAACTGTCCTGTATGAATCATGCTATTTCGTGATTTCTGTTGACATTTGGAGAAGAGATTGAAATATGGTCAACGCACCGAAAGATGTGTTACAGGTAATGCAGCTGCAAGAATATGTCAACTGTGGGAGTCAGGCTTATAAGATGGCGGCCCGAGCAGCCGTTGTGAACTGAGCCGTACGAGCGTCTGCCCTCTGGATGTCCTGCATTGTAGGTTCACGGTACAGCAGCTGGCACAGAGGTTGGCAGCGCAGCCCTGACAAACCGGGCCTATTCGCTAATGTGATACTCACCCCTGATCTTTCACAGTAAATCTTGATCCCGCCGAAGGAGACCGTCAAGAAGACTCTCTGCTTGTGCTCCCCTTTGGAACGTGCCGAGGAAGCCATTCCCTGCAGGAGATTAAAGGGAACGACATGAGGAGATAAAAGGAGATGATGAAGCCTTCCTCTATTCCGACTCAGGTGAGTGTGGCAGTGGGAGATGTGGGGTAGAGATTGGGGGCAGGGTGACAGGAGTTACATAAAGTGTGATAGGACAGGATGTTCTTTCATGTGCTCTTTTTTTCTTGAAGCTTCACTCTCAGAGGAATTCACACATCGCCTTGTTCAGCGAGTTATATTATTATTGCCATTTCCCCCTTTAGAACCATTTTTCTCTCCCTTTTTTTGAAGTAAGTGTGCTGCACCTCAACGTGGCAATACACAAGTGCTGGCTAACAACAATAAGGTGAGATCTGCTGACAGAACGGATCGCGCCGCTGACCGACGTCAGCTCGCTTCGGCAACTTCACATAGTGCTGACTGAACACCCAATCCAGCCTTTGAAGTGTGTTTTTCCCATGGATCTCACCAGCTCCTTTTTCCTCATATTCTCAGCTCTGATAAAGAAAACAATTAAAATTTCCACCGTGTTCCCTTTGATGCGACCTGTGTGCTTGACATGTCTTTCACAGAACAACGCCTGGGAGAAAATAGAAGAGAGGAGAAGAGGAAAGATGAGATAAGGGTAGAGAAAAAGCTTGCCTTCTGCGCTCAGTATGTCTGGAAAAACTGCATCAATGCTATTCAATTCAATTCAGTTCAGTTTCATTTATATAGCACCAAATCACAATGGCAATCGCAAGGTAAAAACTCTACAATAACACAGAGAAAACCCCAACAATCAGATGGGCCCCTATGAGTAAGCACTTGGCAACAGTGGGAAGGAAAAACTCCCTTTTAACGGGAAGAAACCTTCGGCAGAACCAGGTTCGGGGCAGGGGAGCCATCTGCTACGACTGGTGGGGCATGTGAGGGGGAGGAGAAGTTCTTTGAAAGCCTACCTGATAACACAACCACAAACCCTGACTCGCAGTAATCACCTTCGAGCTAGCTTTAAATAACTATACAGTAAAAAGCTGAAGGAATAACAGTACATAAAGGAGGAGGGCGAAGGATAAAGAGCAGAACAAGCAACAGGAGCAGGAAAGAGATAAAGCAAATGAGAAAGAGGCGGGTGGGCAGGAGAGTCAATGGATGTTGTCAATCAGTCATCGGCATCCCCATTTGGCGGATTAGTAAGCACAGCAGTGAACGGCAGCTCAATAGAGACCTGTACCCCCTCTCTATCCCCTGTCCAGATAATAGCAGTTCTGTATCGACTGCTCCATTGACTGTAACTGGCTGGGAGCTGGTGACTACCGGAGTCATATGGAGGGCACTGCAGAAATGTCTGATCAAAGCAGTGAAAAAGTTGCTTTATTAGAAGTACTGTATCATTTGAAAAGGGTATGGGCAATGAGAGGTTTTGCCTTCTGGCTATACTGCTTTTCCAGTGGGGCTTCCCACACATTTAAGCTCTAGGAAAGTCATTGAGAATATGCATTTACAGTTCATCTGCTTATCCTGTAGCCAATTACTGCAGCGATGCTTGTGCGCTGCTTCTTTGCACAACTGATAAATATCACTTGCCATTCATTTGTCTTATTCCTTTAATGTAAAACCAGAGCCTGATACAGGTTTACATTTGCAGTACACCTCAATAGAATACATCGTCTTTGTCTCTGAGAAGCCAGGTTTTATTCATCAATTTTTGTATAAGACCATTAGCAAAGATAAGAATCACATCAGAGGTGTGAATCTTAAAATCATCAGGCAGTTCAAAATGTTTCCCCCAAAACAGATCACTGTAATTGCCAAATTCAAAGAAACAGCAACTTTCAGCGCTAAAAACAGACAAGAAGCCAATGAAATGATACCAAAATCTAAACTTCTTCAAACAGAACTCATGGCTCGATAGTGAATCAGTCCCCAAAGACATTAATATTGTCCAAAAATGCCACACTTTGAAGCAAAATAATACGGCATTTCCAGCCTTCTATAAGATTTTCTTTTGTTTCTTTCAAATATCCTATTACCTTATTTCACCCGCATGGGAAGAATTGTAAATAACTCTTCTAATTTGTGGCCATTTTGAATGGCAGGTGCACAGACAGCTGCTGCTGCAAGCTGCCAGGCTTCAGCTCAGCTAATATACAACACTGAACTGGACCTCTTAACTGCATTTCTGGTGTTGATACTTTCTGAGATATTTTTCAATCTAATTATCTGACCAAAAAAGATGGCTCGCTGAAATGTTAAGAGTACTAAGAGCCCATCTGAAGACTCTTTGCTCCACTTTTATTGAGCTAAATTATAATTTTTTGATTTAACCCTATTATAATTGGCAGATACCCAAGTCTGTGTGATGCACATAGATAACCAAGCTAGCGTCAGCTAATAGCCACTACAACTCGTGTGATAACAATCACTTTTTCTGGCTGCAAACAAATAAATAAACAAAAAACAACAACAGGAGCCACAAAAGCTAAAGCTGTCCACGGTCTAAAAATTCAAAACAAAGCTGAAAAATAAAATAGACCTGATTTAAGCATCTGATTATAATGATAGACATGATTTACTCTGTACTCTGTCTCTATTACTTTGTCTTTTACATGAAATTAAATCGACAAACCTAAACAGAGGCAGCATTTTCACCAATCTGTCTATCCAACATGTGCAGGCTCAGTCACTTAGAGGAGAGAAGCTCATGAAAGGTGACTTAATAGAGGTAATTCCTTTTAAGTAGAAGTTCATACATCAAACTGTCTCCTTCCTATCATAATCCTCGCTGCCCTTCATACCTGTTTGTTGTTGCTTCTTGTGTCCCACACCCTCCCCTTCATTTGCCTCGCTCCTGCTGCGCTCTCCTCTTGCTTGTAGGTGGGGGGGATTTCAGCCCAGGAGCTGCCCCTGATCCCCAACAAAGCCTTCTCCACAACCCCACCATTTACCTTACTTCTCTGACACTTCTTCCCATTTAAAAATAATAGAAACAACTCGCAGATTATGTAGTAAGTTCATGAATACCCAACTCGTTCATCCACCACTTTTTATGCAGGCATTTTCTGACTCTCTCTGTCTCTGGGGCTGAATTTGATCTAGTTTACTTTCAATATTTTGCAAGGAAAACTAGCTGAAGTGTTATCTGGGTCATGTTATCGCAGTTTGCATATGTGCCACAAGTGTAACATCATGAAATTGGTTGTAAAAATAGAGTGTGAGTGACACGAGAAAACATACAGGAGACAGATCGGGGTGGGGGGATGGGATGGTTACTCTCCTCGCACATGCGGAAAAGTGAAAATTCTCTTATTTGACTGATATACTGATTTAAGTATTTCTCAGAATAGGGAGCCAGTTTGCCCCGGCGGTAAAGAAAAAACAAAGACATATGAATATATGCGAAGTGCTTTGAGCAACACTAAAAATAAAGCAGCCTATTAAAATAAAGTACAAAGCCGCTTCCATTTTGCACAAGCCAACCTTACAGTAGCTTTCTATAGGACACTGTGGAATAATAAGGCTGGACTTTCATTTGTTCCATCTGCTCAGTTCAAACCTTCAGTGAGTCATACACAGGATAAGACAAGCTCCTGTGATTCATTCAACAACAGACAACACAGCCATGTCTGAGCATGCTTTTTGCAAATCTGACTGAGATGATTGAAGATGCTCAGTGATGTCCACACAGACTCAGACACACACACACAAAGAAGTCTGCACCTTCAGCTTCATCATGGAGTCCTGGCACAGCTTGTCCCCGCGTGCGGCTGTCACCTCATCAATCCCAATCAGCTTGGCCTTGTAACGCACGCCATCTCCGCGGAAACGCTTAATAAGCCCCGCCTCACTGCGGTCCTGACCTGCAGAGGAAGAGAAAGAGAAACAGACAAGAGTCGGAGAAATAAGAACGAGAGAGTGATTACAGGAAATGAGGACGTGTGAGCTCAACTGAATTGAACGCGTTTGGTATGGTGCCCGTCTCGAGGGTACGTGGGCTTCTGCGCGCGGTGTCTGTGCGTAGGTGCGTGCGTATTTGCGCGTGTGTCTCTTTGCTCCGGTGTTAATATTTATGGAATAGGAAACGCGGAAAGAATAGAAAATTAGCAGGGGCGCGCAAAGATGGAAGGAAAATTGAACTTGAAATTGAAAATGAAGTTGGATAAAGCCGGCGCACTAAATGAGAAAACAACTGGAACATCAAAAACAGTCAGCGCCACAGTCACCTGTCACAGAGCATTGTAGGGCATTCACACACAAAGGCAGGACTGAAGGGAGGGGGTGCTTACTCCAGTGTTGCTACCCATGGCTGGAGTTCCCATGGGTGCTATTGGTAGCGACAAACCAGCCTGAATGGCTCCTATTGAGAGGAATCTTCTCGGTCCAGCGCTCACCCACAATCCACCCAAGCCCTCTCTGTGTGATGGATGTAGGGTGGTGGCAAGAAGGTGGCGGGCTGATGGTATGAGCCGCTGGGGGCAGTGGGGGGTGTTCACGTGTGTGTCTGGATGGCCTCAGGCTTTATACTGTCATCCCCTCCCCTCCTTGTTCCTGATTATTCTGTCTCTCCAGCCACCCTGACATCTCCTTGATACCGACACCTTTCTCATTTTGTCTCATCGCTCGCTGTTTTGATTATGTGGGTTCGAGCCTCAAGCGTTATCTCGTAGGTCTACATTGTATAACCTGTGCGGGCTTTGTCACTCGCAAAACACCGGCTCCCTGCAGCAGTCGCACAAAGACATAGTAGGGATTTCGAATCAAGGTCACCGGCACCTTGGAGAATTTAACAGTTTCAAGTCTCTTCCTCATTCAAATCTAGGTCAGGAGACCATGCAGTACATCAGTTAGCAGCACATTAAAGGGGCTGGCTAAGCTGTGGGCGACAACGAGACAAGGTGTAACATCCTTAACAGAAGCTGTCAGGCTGTGCTCCAAAGTCACATTTACGCCAAAATCAGCTTATTCCACCCAGAAATGCCATCGCCTGCCACATCTAACCAAATTCCCGTCTTCCGTTTCTGCAATTTCCAAGTCAAAACCAAAAAGGAAAAATTGGAAACAACCGAAAAGGGCAGATTAAGAAGCGTCTCTCTCCCCACCCACCCACCCACCACCCCATCTTAGTAAAATGTAAGTGCTTGTCTTGGCTGTGCACACTTCTTCACTAATTCATGAGGGCACAATTCTCTAAAAGGGGGAAGGGCTTGAGGATGCTAAAGTCATTAAAGTCTCTAAGCAAGCGACTGTCAAATCTGGGTCTAATTTAGACTTATTTCACAGCCAGAGGAGTTATACAGCTAATGGGCACATCTGAACATCAACCGCAGCGTGTGAAGAAACGGACGCTCAGATTTAGTGACGAACTCCCTAAAAATACGAACTGTAGCCACACGTGTGCTATTTGCTAAACCCCGGAAGGTGATTATCGTTGCTCACAAAGCGGCCGCAGTTTGTTCGCGCAGTATTATGCACTCCACCCTGATTTTACTGACTCATATACTCTGTAATGTAATGTAAAATACATGCTGCTCCAGATGCATTTTAAATACAATCGGTCCAATTCAGTGCAACTCTCTCAGATGAGCTGTAACCAAATGTTTTGTGCCATTTGTTTCTTTACATACCGCATACGGCCCTCCTCACACTTCAGGAAGGATTTAGAGATTTATGCACAGATCCTCAAAAAAAAAAAAAAAAAATAGGCCTTGCATACCAAATGAGAGTCTTGAGTCAGTGGCATAACTTGTTCACTACGTGCTCTGGGTTCAGATCCAGATGAGCGAGTGTGCTGTATTTGAAAACTAAAGAGCTGAGGGGCATGCTGTTTCATGTTGTTACACACTGTAAGAGGGGAGAAGCGAGAAGGTGTGTGTGCGTGTGTGTGTGTATGGGTTCGTGACGGGAGGTGACACATATTCCTCTGGCTTTCTGGATTTACAATTACCCAAGGTTGAATGGTCCTCACAATGATTCTGGCCCGTAAGGCTGATGCTCATAATTTTTCTGACAGTGGATTGCCTGAAGTATTGTGTGCTGTTTGTCTCTATGTGTCCTAGTGCCTGGTGGTCTGAAGTGCATGTGTCCAGGGTTAAAATTTAGACCTCGTCTCCTGCTTCCCAATATTTCCGAAATCCCTTGTTTCAAAGATTTGGTTTTTTTTGGTGAGTGAGTCGGGCATTAAAATCCAGGATGTCAGAGGCTTTAAATCAAACGCTCCAATCCTCCCACGTGACACGCAGGCTCTGCACCAGGACCATGGAGAGAACAATTACTGTTCGCCCTGCTCCATACTGTTTCAGGGCTCGTCTCTGATCACAGTGTTGCATCCGTCTTCTTGCCACACTCGAATGGGGACAGCAAAGGGACAGATGGCGGCAGATGGAGAGTCAGAAGTGCCCCTCCAGATATAAGGACTTGGCAACAAGAAACTTTTTGTTGGGGATCTGGGCATAGAGGCAGCTTAACCTTTGAACCTCTCTGGGTGTGTATCTGTGCCTTCCCGTCCTTTTCCTTTAAAGTCGCTGTTCGCCATTAGCCACACACACATCCACATGCGCACGCACCATCCTCCGGGCTATAATGAAATATGCAATAGCAGCCGATATTTTCTCTGAAATAAAAAGACAGGTATTTCCTGTCAGCGCAGGAGGCTGAAGTAGCAGCGAAGAGAATGCTCGTCTGAGAAAAGCAAAATCTGTCCGCGCCATCTGCCTCCCCCCATGTGCGCAAAAGAAATTTCACAAGCCTCAGCAAACACACAGAAGCACATTTACAAATCTCAACAGCGGTGCGTGCTCTCCCCGTCCAGCCCTCGCTGATGTAAAAATAAACAAATACGTTGAAAATTCCTCGACCAAACTTTGGCACTAAACGCAGCATTGAGGGTTTGGCTAAACGGCTGATCAATAAAGCAGTTTCAGGATTAATTAAGGCTTTTGTGCAAATTGTCAGTGCACTGGATAGATCAGTGACTCGCTGTGGAGTCACACACAGGAGACGGTGTGTGCTGGCTGGCATTTTGTGGGGATGATACTTTAGGAAGGGGGGGCTCCATGATGCTATTACCAAGCTGATGGGGATGCAATGTCAAGACACAGTTAGGAAAATGCATACCTGCAAATGAGTTGGCAAATGGTGTTTGAATAGATTTGAATGGGTAGTATTTGTATTGCCTCTTAGAGTATGGGAGGCGACCAGTGATTTACTCTGCTGCTTCTCTGCTAGCTGCTCTCTGCCCTTTTCTCCTCTGCTCTCAGTGTCTTCCATGTCCTCAACTCCATGCTTTTCTTTTTGAAATGAATCTTTTTTGCTTTCTTTCTCTTTTTTGGTGCACAGATTACACTGGGAGAGCAACAGTTGCTATGGAGATAGAGTAAAGTCACGCATGTAAAGCAATTCTGACGATGGGTAGAGGGGAGCTTTGGTTTTTATGACGGCAGACTTTACTGCAGTCAGGTTTGAATTTTTCCTCACCGTTTTGAGAAGAATGAAGAGTGATATAAGTGCGTGCCAAAACCAAAACGGACACGCAAAAAACCAAGTTCACCCTAAATTGTTTCGCATTCATCACAAATGCATCAGAATTTTATGAAAATGATACAGAAGCAATTAAATAATAACTGGTCGATGATGCATTAGAGGATGAACCAGGACATGACTAAGGGGGCAAATCTTTTTATGTTGTAATGGGCAGCTTATCTCCAATTTATTTCTATTCTGTGAGTGGCAATATTGTGGCATTTTGAAAGGATTCAAAAATTTTCCCTATTTTTTGCATCCATAATATACGACTTGATGTAGTTTGTAGGGATGCAACGATACTCGTATCGATATTGAACCGTTCGATACAGTGCTTTCGGTTCCGTACGCATATGTATCGAACAATGCAAAATTTTTTATTTATTTTATCAACTTTTCTTCTGACGATGCTGTCTGTGTTGAGCACTCAGTGGATCTGCGTTTGACTACTCCGCCTAGGCAGCGCAAGCTAGCGAGACAGAAGCTAAGCTCGTTGCAACATGGCAACTGCCTCAACGCTACCCGAAATTGAACCTCCCCCACCCTCATTCAGATCTGGCGTCTGGAA